ATCTAAAATTTTTTTTAGATGAGATGGTATATTTTTCTATCTAAGATAAAGATGAAGATGGTTTATATTTGCACAATCTAGATGTAAGATGAGATGGTCCAATTTTCCATCTCGATGACCATCTAAGATGGTTTCATCTAGATGTCGGCAAACACTGTACACATATAGTGTCAATCACCAATTACAGACGTTTCGACTATAAAATTCAGTCCTCTTCAATGTGTCGATAACATTTTCGGAGTCAAATTAATTCGTTATGATGATATAGGCGCATATAGTTAATGAAACATTCGGCTGTTGTCCAAATTTAAGAACTTCATAATCGTCTGTACTTAGCTGAATACCCAAACATTAATTCAGTCATTTAAGTTAAAATTAAGTAGCTATATAAGTGAAATTTTTAAAAGCTATTCATAGTCTCAGAGTATTCAAATTAATTATCAGTTACATAATCTTACTTTGTACTCAGCATAACGATGATCCGTTATAAACGCGATGTAATTATAACTACGTCTTGAGAGGACGTTTCATATTCTCATTGTTTATAAGTCTTAATGTTAAATAGCATAAATACCAACATAAAATTCGACGATACAACACTACAACTAGTAACGATGAACCGAAATAGTTACCAATTTAATAACTAACTATACAAATTTTTATAAATTATAATACATGGAAACATCATTTATTCTTAAATAAATCACTATAAATCGGATCCAACAATTCCGTGTCATTTTGTAGATTCAGTCCATTATTTGGTTTTTTTATATATATAGCTTTCGAAATTAGTCTCTTATTATATCCTTGATTTTAATATCGTTCCATTCAAAATCGTGATGTGGTCCATTCTATGTTCTGTAATTACTGAATGTTGTGTGGTATTCCTATTTACGTGATTACGATGTTCATTAATTCGTGTTTTCAGTAACCGTTTTGTTTGACCTACATAGGATGCATTACAATTTTGACAATTAATTTTGTAAACGATATTAAATTGTGATAGTGAAGGTAATTTATCCTTTTGCGCTCTAATAAAGAGGTATTTAGTTTATTAAGTCCTATGTGTAGGCTAAACGTACCGCTGTTATTTTTAAAAAACCTTTTGAATTTCTCTGCTATTAACAGTACGCACAGGACCGTAAAATATGTAATTAATTTGTTAGCAGTATTCTTTCGGTGTATAGTATTGTTAAGTTGTTCGAATGTAGTGTGTAGCCTTTTTTTAATACTTTCAAAAATTAGCCTTAAAAGACAACCGTAAGTAGTTGATAATAAATCTAAAGTTTTTTTCATGGAAAGTTGGATGCGATAATAATAATACCCTGTCAATTAATCCTATAATTGTCCCCATTTTATGGCATCTCGGATAACACGCATAGTAGTTTAGATATCTTGCAGAGAATATGGGTTTGTGATACCAATCATAAATCAGATACTCATCTTTTTTTATTAAGGTTACATCCCAAAAATTCAAACAATTGCCATCCCTTTCTATGGTAAAATGTGTAAAATTTAATCTGGGATGGTAACTATTAAATATATTTAATAATTTATCGATATTTTGATCCTGTATTGACAGTGCTATGTCATCAATATACCTCACATATATACCAAATGAAAAAACGGTAATCTTTCAATACCAGTTTTCTCTAGATCTTGCATAACAAAATCTGCTACTATAGGTGAAAGTGGAGACCCCATGAGAACCCCGTACGATTGTTCATAAAATTTGTCATAAAGAACGTAGAATGAAGCACTTGATTGCTTTAATGCAGGGATCAGCAAAATGCTGAAATTGGGCACGGGCGCCCGCAAATGCCCGGCTATTATGCATGTCTACAGTTAATTTCATTCACAACTCACTTATTTCGCAAATAATATCAAATTATAATCATCAATCAAATACTTACGAATTAAGTGTTATTATTGTTATAAATAAAAAACGTTTATTCTAAACATACATTGTTATTATTTTATATTAATTCTGAATTATCTAAATTTGTATAAAAGAATATTTTTTAATA